TGTAGAGTTCACCTGTCTATCTGCACTGACTGATGAACATTTATAAGATTCTCTATCTCCTTATGGAAGTATATTACACAAGAGAGCCATTGCCTGGAAGGTCTTAGCACATATGAATATATGCGTGCCAGTTGACAATGAAGATCATTATAGTAAAATTATTTCTATGTAATGTAAGCCAGAGATTGTTTATATGTACGCGGAAAGAAAAAACCTGGAGAAAAAGTACTACTTATTTTCTGCAGCTACTGTATGTCAACATGTATTTTTTTTGGCATTATAATAATAGAGTTAATTGCCATTTTGTTTCACTTCATTATTACGGTCCCTGAAGAGGTTGTAGGAGTTGCCTAGATATATTTATCTTGCAACTAAAGTCATTAAAACTACTTTGCCACCAAAAAATGTTAAACCCCTTTGTTGAGAATTGTAGTGGAGATGCCAACGTTTCCAAAGACACCAGATATGTCAGGCTGAAATGTGAACAAGACATCTGAACATCATGTCACCCAAGTTGCAATACATGCACAATCCACACACTTCATAACAATTTCAACCCTCCTAACAACACAACCTGGCACCCCACAAGCTGATCCAAGGGGTGTGTGCACAGCAGCTCTTTGCAATGGTTGAGATAACTTAATGTTAGCTGTTGGCAAAATGCCAGGACAGGATGGTGTTCAACCTAAATTTTAAAATCCCTCAATCATACTTTTGTAAAACCTGTTCTGCATGTAAATTGACGTTGAAATTTGGAAGGTTGCCAATGTTATAGAGGAACATCAGTTGGTCAAGGTCAGCCATGTTATTTTTCACTCTCAGTGTCATAAACCATCATGCACCTGGAACGCTTTGAGGTCGGAAACTGGAATTTTGAACAAGGAAATCTTTGAGTTCCATGAAGTCCGGAACACAGCATATAACCAAAACAGTGTTATGGACTTTCAACACGGCAGTAAGTGCACTAAAATAAAAGCTCAGAGAGCTCTAAATGCAATTAAAAGAACATATTTTAATTTCCAAATTCCAAATAAAATTTGGCTTAAAATATTTAATAGTGTCATCCAACCCATTCCGCTGTATAGCAGTGAAGTTTGGCATGCGCTTAGTCATCATAGCTATAACCATTGGGACAAATATCCAACAGAATGTTAACAGAAGTTTGCACATACATTTTACACATACACATAAAACACCAATAAATGCATGTAAAGCATAATGATGCAGATGCCAACTGAACATTCAAAAGAAAGGACTGAAATGTTTTAATCACCTTAAAACCAGTCCCCAAGACAGCCTTAATTTCTCACCAAATCGTGCAGAATGGAGTCATGCAAGTCATGCATGCTTCCTATCTAATCTATCTAATGTTTTAAGGCTGAATTCTCATTTTTGAAATGTGACTTTAGTTTCTCACATGCCCATATGTACATTGAAACATTGAAGTTTTGGTTGCTGTAATTGCTCCTCTTCATACTGTCCCATGACGAGGTCCCTAATTTCCTCCCTTTTGGTAACTCCAAAATAAGAGTTACAATACTCCCTCTTTGCTCCACTGTTTCACCCCAGGTGCTGCATTACTGGCCCACCCGGGCGAGGACACCAGCGGTAACATCATTGTGGTCTCCGCCCCACGCTGTACATTACTTAGAGCCACTGAAGAGTTGGGACTATGTAAGTTTTACCGCAACGAGGACATGGCAGCCTTCTCCTACAACGACAGAGACAACTTTAAAGATTCAGGTACTGCAGTGGAGTACTGGACATATGGTATGGTATATGAAATGTACGTGAGCACGCTTTACATGTTACCACCTGGCTGAACGCTAGCAACAAAAAGGGAGGCCACACACAGAAATATCAGTCAAAAAGTAATTTTTTTAACTCATATGAACTGGATGTGTAAGTAGGAGAGCTATCAGTCATGTCTGAAATCATTTACATAATCTATTATGTTATTTGGGGCCTTCAGAGAGGCTAAAAGGCCTTAAACTCTGTGACCAAAGACCAGGCCATTTGGACTAAAGCCCAAACTCTCTTGGGATTCCTCCCTGGCAGTTAACATCAGCATAACTGTAACCACTGTTCTACCAATATGTAGTGACCAGTGTCATCTTCTTTGCTGTGCTGGGGAGGTGGCATCAGGACTTGTGGCGCCAACAAACTGGGCTAGCTTGTTGGTAGGGACAGAACTTGACAGTGTAGAGGCAGTGACTGATTAATTTATTTTAGTCTTCTTTTTACTTTGCACTACATTCCCTGTGCTGCTATGCAAATTTGAATTTCCGGTACGGGGATCAATGAAGGAACATCTTATCTTATCTTATCAGTCATGTCAGAAGTGTGTGGATGAGTGAAAATATGATGTAATGTATGTTTACTGGTAAAACCGGCAAATCAAACAAAGGAAGAAAGCTGAGCTCGATGCAGGCCGGCTGAAAGAGAGTGGGACTCCCCGAAGAGCAGTCCTTTATGCTTTCTAGGAAGCCCAGCCCAGATGGACAGGTATGAGCAGGCGACCCTCCCACCTCCCACTACAAGCAAACTCCCAGTAACTGCAAAACAGGCCGCAGAGCAAGACAAACATGCAGGCAGAGTGAGAGGGGTCCTCACAATGATGAGAGAGGGTGTGTGTTAGTTCTTTAAAACAACTGCGGCCAGGCCAGGAAGGACGAGGCCAGACACACAATAAATTTTATGGGTTTTTATTCCCCGACTGTACTCCAATGAGAACAGTGTTAATAATGTAAAGTCAAGAGGTTAAGGCAGTTGGTGGTTATACAAACACAGGAATAACTTTCTTACTCGTCTTTAATAATTATTATTATTATGCATTACTGTTGTTTACAGAGCCCTGAATTCTAATTCTCCTCTTACCTCACAAACCACCGCAGCTTGGGAAAAAGATCTAGGCATTGCTATAGATGATGCTGACTGGCGGGAGGTCTGGTCTCAGGCCTTGAACATTTCTGTGTGTAACCGCACCAAATCCACACAGCTCAGAATTGTACATCGTATTTTGTCAAGAACAAAATGGATGCTAATGTTTCCCCGCTTTGCTGGAAGTGCAGTTCTGAGACTGGTAATTATGTTCACTGCTCCCTGGTCATGTGTGAAGTTACAAAGGTAGTGGTCTAGTATTATGAATGAGCTGACTGCTACTTTGGTGTCCCACGTTGGATCACTGATAGTAACACAGGAGACTTTTCAATGTACTGACTTTTGCTGCTAGAAGGAACATTCTACTCTTCTGGGTCAAAACAATCATGGCACAACATTGTAACGGACTGCCTTCCTAGTGAATACATCACATGCATGCTTCACTCCAAAATAGACACTTTCTATAAGATCTGGGACCCTTAATTGCAGCATATTGGGCCCACGATGTCATCCTCCTTGCTTTGTGGATTTCCTAGATCAGCCTAGCTTGTCTTTGTGACTTTTTTTAAGTGCCCACTATCTAACAAGCACCTTGTAGCCTTGCTATGTTATGTATGCTCTGTATTGATTCTTATCTGGATACTGCTTTGCCTTGCTGCAGGACATTGAAAGGGTGGAAGTTGGATGGAAAATGCCCCCATTGTTATTTATTTTTATTTTCATAATTACTTCCTATTTACTGTACCAACATGCCCACATTCTGCTGTTTTTTCCTTCCCTGTCGTGTCTGAGCTGTTCTGTGTGTTTTGTGTTTTGAAAAATGTAATAAAAATATACAAAAACAACAACTGTATTTTTATTTTCTTTGTGTGTCTTTGTATCTATACATCACTGGCTATATCCATGTGTCTGTGTGTATTCATGTGTGTGATAGACAACATGGAGGTGTTCCTGACCCTGGCAGAGAGGCAGTACATAGTGAAGTATGAGCTGGACGGCATGCGGGCGCAAAGAGACCTAAGAATACCCGGCCTCTCTGACAGCTACACACTGCATCACCGAGACAACGTCTGTGAGTGCTCTCTATGTGTGTTCACATCAGTATGAGTTAGACAGGATGCAAACACTGGAAAAATATCCATCGAGATAAATACTTCATTGTTGGATCTTTTTTCAGTTTGTGGCATTTAATAATTTCAATGAATGCCTCGGGACAAAGATAGAAACACAAAACACATACTCATATGCAAATAACAACAGCTGAATCATTTGTGAAGACATTTTTTGCAGTGCACTCATCTCACCACATTGTAGACTCCCATCCAGTCTGCTGTCTCCACATTCTAACAGTCTCCAGCTGTACTATGTCTCTCTATGTCCTTAGCTGTTCTTCTCCACACATTTGAAATAGCTTGAGTCAGCATCTGCTTCAATGTATGTGTGTATGTAACTGTATATGTGGGACTAGTTGTCGCTTAATTGGAAAACTCTCCCTCTTTCACCAGTGCCATGTTCTCATATCTCTCCGGGTTGAAGTGTAGCTTTGTGTAACGCTGTGTTGTTGCAGGGCAGAAGCTTGGGTCAGCTGGTGTTATTGTGGACATGTTTCCCCTCCACATCCCGGCCAAACTGAAGGATCTCAGTAAAGCCTGGTACTCTGGGAATCAGCTGGCTCAGCCACTGGGTAAGAAATGCAACAGACACACACACACACACACACACACACACACACATACAATACCACATGACTGTTTATGCACACACATACAGAAACGAATGCAAATATGGCCACAGTCTCAGTTTTTCATGCATGTGGCACCCCTGCGGGGAGTTGGACTTTACAATAGATGGCTGTGTGGGCAAACTTCTATTTTCTGCCTGTAAGACAAGTGAACAGTGTATGCACTTACACCAAACACCTCTGTCTGCTGCTTCATCCAGATTCAGTCAATGGGTATTTTGGAAGCTCTGTGGCTTTCTACTTCAGCTTCCTTGATTTCTACACCTGGTCTCTGCTCCCACCAGCGATACTAGGCCTGTCCATCACATACTTTTCAGGTAGGTGTGCAGATTTATCAGTAATATTTGTTTAAATATACTGTGTAAGGTACTTAAAGGGAGAATAAGGGATTCTGCAGAGGGATTGTTGATATTTGAACTCAACTGCCAAACAAATACAGTCCTCCCTTTAGTGCTTCACTCAGAAGCTCCGGCCCCCAAGTTTCAAATCTTAGAGATTTCTCCAGAGTTGAAATGCCTTCCCCCTTGACTTGTCATGTAACATTCTTCTCTGTTTATACTCTTCAGACCTTTTCTTCTTTGGTTGTTTCTTGGCCATCTCTCCATCTTCACAGTGTCTGGAGTCCAGCACATGTGAATGTGCCAGTGTAACTGTCTCTTCCACTCCCAAGTTACTCTGGAACTGTAATGTTACTTATTACTTCTTAAAAGTAAGAATATTACTTTACTTATTACTGGATATTAAAAGTAACTAGTACAGTTGTCACGTTTCTATATTACTTTCACTACCCATTTTATTAACTCATGGCCTTGAGATAATTCAAATGATAATTATAATAATTAAATAAAAATATTGCAACCCAGCCTTTCTCTTGTTCACAACTATGTGAGGCTTGGTCTGAGATTGGTAAAAGAGAGACTATGGCTGTGTCTGAAATCACCCACTGTTCACTATATAGGGAGCTTGCCATTTTGTAGTGCTGTCCAAATGTATTGTGAGACTGGCGGAGAGAGAAGCTTGGGTGCCTTTCAAGCAGCTGTGTGCAGAAAGTAACTTGTCAATGTCATTTTCGTGAACTGACCAATCACAGCCTGCATGGGGCGGGACATTTAAAAATATTGACAGCTGGGTGTCATTTACACTGGGGACTGTCCAAATTGGCATGGTACTTTTTAACTTTGAGAAAGCACAGCAAGGTGCAGATGAGTGTGAGCTTTAATACATCAAAATGAAAATACATTGCAAAACTCCCATACACCACTCTGAAATGTTTTCAGCTATCTTACCACATCTGGGTTTGTCCGATATAGTTGTTGGTTTCCCCACATATAGTCCTTTGATCATGTGACATAGATAGATGTTTTACACAAAACAACATTACCATAATGTGATTTTTTATTACAAAGTACTCTTTATTTCTGGTAGATACATACAGTGTCTCACAAAAGTGAGTACACTAGAGCGAGACCTGTTCCGTGTGGAACCTGTCCTGTTGAACTGCTGTGTGGTCTTGGCCACCGTGCTGCAGCTCAGTTTCAGGGTTTTGGCAATCTTCTTATAGCCTAGGCCATCTTTATGTAGAGCAACCATTCTTTTTTTCAGATCCTCAGAGAGTTCTTTGCCATGAGGTGCCATGTTATATAAACAAATAAACAAAATATAGAAAAGCATAATAGGTCTCCTTTAATGGCTGTGTGTTGTGTTATTTTGAGAGGACTGCAAATTTACACTCTTATACAAGCTGTACACTCACTGCTTTACATTGTAGCAAAATGTGATTTCTTCAGTATTGTCACATGAAAAGATATAAGCAAATATTTACAAAAATGTGACGGGTGTTCTCACTTTTGTGAGATACTGACATTTACGAGTATAGTAACATGCTTACATGCCAAACATGACAACTTAAATTCAAAATGCAAACATATCACTATATTGCCAGAAGTTTAAGGACCTCTCCCGAATCGTTAAATTCAGGTGTTCCAATCAATTAAATCAAGCTGGTGAATGCAGATGCTTCAAAGCTTTGAGTGGTCGAAAAGACTAGAAAGGCGCGTACGGAGCATTTACATAAAATCACAGAGCGGGGTCAGGGCATGCAGAGCCACATGGTGCGCAGAAGTTGACAACTTTTTGCAGAGTCAATAGCTACAGACCTCCAAACGTCATGTGGCCTTGGGATGAGCTCAAGAACAGTGTGCATAGAGCTTCATGGAATGGGTTTCAGTGCAAAGTGTATCATGCAGTGGTGTAAAGCACGCCGCCACTGGACACTAGAGCAGTGGTGATGTGTTTTGGAGTGACGAATCACGCTTCTCTGTCTGGCAATCCGGATGGAGTCTGGGTTTGGCGATTTCCAGGAGAACGGTACTTGTATTTCAGGAGTTGGGCTTGGCCCCTTAGTTCCAGTGAAAGGAACTGTTAATGCTTCAGCATACCAAAACATTTTGGACAATTACATGCTCTTTGTGGAAACAGTTCCAACATGACAGCGCACCAGTGCACAAAGCAAGGTCCATAAAGACATGGATGAGGGAGTTTGGTGTTGTCCTGACCTCAACCAGACTGAACACCTGGGATGAATTAGAGCAGAGACTAACCTCACGAATGTGCTTCTAGAAGAATGGTCAAAGATTCCCATGAACACACTCAAATTAAACCTTGTGGACTAGTTGAAGGTGTTATAGCTGCAAAGGGTGGGACAACTCCATATTAAACCCTACAGATTAAGAATGGGATGTCATTACCCTTCATGTGCAGGTAACCTAAAACTTTGGCAATATAGTGTACTTGTCTATATGTTAACTTTGGTACCAAGGTGACAAGTCATTTAGGCTGATGGATGTCTTTGTCCAGTGCACTGAGTGCAGTTGTGGGCAGAAATACAAACTAACTGGCTTCTTCTTGCCCATCACAGGCGAGGTTCAGAAGGACATGGAGTCAGTCTCTGGCTCAGGAGTCACAAGGGTTGAAGATGAATCAGCAGTTGTCAGCGGCCACATGATCCAGGCAGTGTTCAGCATGCTCTGGTCCACGATTTTTATGGAGCTGTGGAAGCGTCGGAGCGCCTCGCTGTCCTACCGCTGGGGGACCCTGTACCTCGCAGAGCGCTTCGCAGAGCCCCGGCCCGGTTTCCATGGCGAGGTCGGGGTCAACCCTGTGACAGGTCGTGGAGCCGCTCTTTCCTGAATGGCAGAGGGACCTGCGTATGGCACTGGTGTCAGTCCCAGTGGTGGGGCTGTTCCTAGGTAGAACTTGAATTTTAAAGTTGAATTGAATGAATTCATCAGTGCATGTTACTGAGCTGAAAGGTACCATGATATTCATGTTGCTTTATTCAATAACTGAAGTAAAATAAGTGTAAGTGATGTTTTCCAAAGACTGCTAACGATAAAACAGTATTCTCTGCTCTATAAAATTGAAAAACCAGCCTTGCCTTCAGCCTCATGTCTCGTGTTATGACTCCTCCTGCAGGGTTGGTGGTACTGGGTATGCTTTGTTTCTACTGGGGGAGGCCCAGGTGCAACAGCTACACAAAGACTGGGACTCCCTGTTGTCTCAGACTTTGCTCTACTTGCCATCAATGCTTCACATTGTCTATACAAACATGTTGGCGACTGCTTACAGGACGGTGGCACAGTCTCTGACTGAATATGGTGAGTAAGAAAGAATGGATGCCATACGTTATTTGTGGCAAAGATTCAGTTACGAGAGGGAAAGCGTTATGGGATGGAGACAGGGAGAGAAAAAAGAGAAGGAAAATAGTCATTTGGCCAATCAGGTTTTGCAGCCATACCAACAGTACTGTTCATAATGCTTATGATTAGCAATTAATCAGAATCAGAATCAGCTTTATTGCCAGGTATGTGTACACATACGAGGAATTTGACTCTGGATTGTACATTGCTCACAATGTGCTTACTCATACAAAAATGCAAAATCACAATAATAAAAAAATAAAATCACAGACTTCAGTGTAGACAACACAAATATACACACACTATGAACAAAAACAATATAGACATATTGACAAATAGTGCAGTGAGCAGAGTGCAAAGGATGCAGGAGTGTGTGCATGTCACACACATGAGTTGGATGTGATATACAGGTACATATACTGTACATGTACACATGTACACATGTACACAGTGCAATGAAGCGTAGTGCAAAGGATACTGGAATAAATAAGTATTTTGTGCAGGAGTAATGACTTGAGGTAGGTGGATTTGGTATACAGTATCTACAATATGACAATTAAGTAGACAATTAATTAATCTTATATTTCCCTTTAGAGAACCACAGAGAGGAGTCTGCCTTCGAGAACCATCTGACAGCCAAAGTCTTAGTGGTCAGTTCCTCCTCTCCTCTCCAACCATGAGTTCTTACATCTTCTTAACCCAGCAGACACTTTTACCAGGCTCTTTTCTTTCTTCCCCCAGTTCACCTTCTTCAACTACTTTGCAGTGCTCTTCCACATCGCCTTCTTCAAGCAGGATGTGCCTTTGCTTCGAAAGGTAACAGTTGATCTCTACAAATCTTCCTCTGCTCTCAGTGTTTGTCTTCAAACAGGTACTCCAGTGATTTAGAAATGAACTTCCATAAATTTAGGGCTCTTCCATGAGACAGATTTAAAATATTTATATATATAAATCCATATCTCGCACCAAAACAGGCTCTTTTAGCTGACACGAAAGCTAGCGTAGTGTTTTCTGGGAGAAATTCATGTTTTTTCATTTTTACATCAAAGAAATATGTATATTTAAAGGTACTGTAAGCAACATTCACTGCTATTAAATGTCGCACTAGAGCACCAGCGTCTCAGACCAAAGCAAATGGGACTCCACTGAGTCATTTTATCTCGCAGATCATTATGAAACAGACTTCATTCACACTGGACAAGACAAACTGACCCAAACCATCTTTGTTAGTATTTCCACTGTTCCGACTGTCACCAACTCTGGTTTGGTAAAATTAACCCCTTAATTCACCAAGATATTCTCACTCTACGCAACCGCAATGCAGGTTGCAATGTCTGCTGGAGACAAATGCACCAGTATGTCCACTAAAAGTGCTTTTGTCACTGACAGGCTCAGATTGTTTGAAAGTGTTTGAAAACAAAGGATCCCTTGAGATATAGACCTTTTTGTCAAACTGTAAGATCCTTTTTATTTAACCAGAAGTAGCCGTCATATCATTCTCACTTGCCACCAGATTCCATTGAAAAAAAACTATACATTTACCTTACGGGTCATAGTTAAAGGTTCAGTGAGTGTTTTAGTGGCAACTGGTGAAGGCAACCAACAGCTCACAGTGCATTCATGTGCTCCGCAGACGGTCATTCAATGGATTCTACTAAATGTTACACACTGAACCTTTAAGCACACTTAATTTCAACTCCACAGTAACAAAATAAAACTTTCTTAGTCTTTCCACTATCCATCAATCACTAAGTCTAGTTTGGTTGAAACAAATCCTTAATTCACTTTGTTAGATGAAAAAAGCCATAGCATTGCTCTTCTCACAGATGATCAGTTTCACACAGCTCCTTGTTGCATAAAGAATCCAGTTTAGTATTCTCACTATTACTTACAGAGCACTGCAATGTCAGGTTCCTGAAAATGTGGCTTAACTGCTCATTATATCTTGATTATATCTTTTCATGTGAGTGTACAGCTTGTAGAACACTGTAAAGTTGCTGTCCCCTCAAAATAACACATCCCACAGCCATTAATGTCTAAACTGCTGGCAAGAAAAGTGAGCCATTTCCCTCCCCGGAGTCATGTGAGAGAGATGCATGCTGTGTTTAAGCCCAGTAAGGCAAGAGCAACTTATTTAAAAGCCATAATTTCCAAGAGTGTCACTGAGTGAAACACCGTAGCTGTGACTTCGGGCATGTTCACTGATGTAACAGGGACACTGCGCTTCATCATAGAAACAGATTATCATATCTTGATGTTTATTGCACCTTTAGTAGTATCGGCTGCTTTCTCTTTAACACACAGCTCCGCTGTGTTGATAGGCTATTATTCGCGACATGTAAGCAATCAGATCAGTGCTGTGGGCGGGACATTGAGCAAATAAATAAGTAAATAAATGATTAAGTAAAAAAAAAAAGTATATATATAATAAAAAATAGTCAGAGATATGGTCAGCAATTGCAAGTGTGACGGAAAACAGGCTGTTACAGTGACATTAAATTCCCATATTCTCTTTCTCTGTCTAAAGCGTCTAGCATCATTGCTGATAGTGACACAGCTGGTCAACCAGTTCACAGAGGTGGTCATACCCTACTGGTGGATCGGTTCATCAGTGCCCCCTATAGGACAGAGAGTGAGGACGATCCAGAGGAGGACAAATTTAGGAACCAGAGCAACCTACCTGCTTTCCCTGTGAGTGTGCAGTATTTAGAAAAAGTGCATATCAAAACAGGTACTAGAATACACTCTGGCTGCGTATGACACAGCATCTTGTTTTTTCACAGGGCCTGTTTGCAGAGTACATCGAGCTCCTGGTGCAGTTTGGGTATTTGAGTCTTTTCTCCTGCGTGTATCCTCTGACGGCTTTGCTGCTGCTCATCAATAACGTAACGGAGATCCGAACGGACGCCTACAAGATCTGCAAACTCTTCCGCAAGCCCTTCTCCCCCCCTGTGGCTAACATGGGCGTGTGGCAGGTCTGCAGAAAGTTACAACGCACAATAGAAGTCAGACGCACAAAGTATGTCACACTCAGCCAGTTATGAATTAACAACTCATGTGATTGTGTTGTGTTGCAGATCGCATTCGAGGTCCTGAGTTTTGCCTCTGTTGTGACCAACTGCTGGCTAATGCTGCTCTCACCACAGTTACAAGAGCTGATTCAGGAGGGCAGAATGAGCAGCAAAAACATCCTGCTGTTGGCTGTTTTAGTGGAGGTAAGGAGGAGGAAGGAGAGGTGATGTTCAAAATAATTACACGTGTGTGTTCCTCTAACATTTTTACATCTTTGTGTGCTTGCAGCATGTGCTGATCTTGGTTAAGGTAATTTTGGCATTACTGATCCCTGATGAACCGAACTGGATCCAAAAAAGAGAGAGCGTATTGAGTACACATCCATGCAGGCCTTGAGACAGCAGGTGAACCCCCAGACATTTCATTATTCAACATTTCAGTGTTGTCCTTCAGCTGTGTGACAACTTTTCTTTCTCCTCCTCTAGAAGCAGCATTCTGAAGAGTCCTGATTGCGTTGAGGTGATGCTTCATGTTGTTCTGTGCTGAGCTGCTACAAATATACAGTACCAACTCCTGTGTTGTGTAGACCCATACAGCAGAAAATTTTTAGATTCAGATTTATAGAGGGAAAGCTAAAGAGCTCTTGTAAATCACTTTGGCTGCAGTATGTACCTCAGTACTGTGTAAGGGGCAGACAGGACGGATTATTTGATGTTTGTGCAAATATAAATCATTTTGTGAAAGGGGTGGCTTGTAGTTAAGGAATCCACAGAAAATGATCATCCAACAGTGCAGTTCCACTCAGCTTAGCAGAGCATTCAAGCACATTGTTTTTGTCTTTTGGCCCACAACTTCACTCTCACCGCTCTCATCAACCTGTATTCAACTGTTGTCAGTAAAAAAGCTAAACCACTATATGCTACCTGCTCTGCACCAAGTTAGCATTTAGCTGGTGCACATAGTGGAGCATTTAACAGCAAAAGAAACTTTGTTTACCTCAGGAATTGGTAGAGACCAAAACAGAGCTAAAAGGAGAATGAATATCGGACCTACATTTGTCAGGTGGCCAGATACAAAACTCCAAATGAATGCTAATGTTACTTCACAGTGGATAAATAAGCAACTGTTTGGTAGTAAGTTAGTTAATATAAGATGTTAATGTTTTGTTTACAGCTTGTCCCCAAGTGGCCAAATAAATCACGTACTGCAGCTTTAATTTCAGAAAATCAGTAATATTGTCTATAGCTCCATCAAATGGAGGAAAACAGCTTAGATTGTAATTCTGTACTTAACCTTGCAGTCTATATTTTTAGTAAAAGTATGGTGACAGCTGGGTTTAGTGCTCAGTCGACTGACAGTGAAAAGTTTAACTGTTCTACAATAATGGGTTAAATATATGTATATTATGGTACTAAATCCACTTTCTTTGTGAACATGAATTGATATTTGTTTCTGATTGAGCTGTTGCGCTTGTTGCAAATGAGTGTAAATACTTGTTGTACACTGCCTTAAATGATCACTGTATGGTTACAGGACCATGTGACATCTGTAACATGAGATGAGTACAGCAAGCTATGCTGCTATGATTTGCTTTGCAATGAAAGTGTTGGGGAGCTACCAAAGAACTGCTATGTGCTTTACTATTAGACATTTATTATTTTTATATGTGTGCATTTCTTGCTTTACTCACTTGTGAGTTTGTTTAGAATGGCTGCTTGAGTTCACTGTGCTGCAACAAATAATTCACCTTCTAGGTACTGATCCTTTACATTCATACTACATGTGTTCTTTTACTGTTCACTCTTCACTGCTGGTAGATTTGACTTAATATAATGAATGAGCAGATGAATCCACTGGGGAAGTCCACCATTTCTTCCATACTTGCTTAACAGTAGTGTAGTGTTCACTATACAAGTTTTTGTTTTTAAGAGTTTGTAGGGTTTTTTTTTTTACAGTCACCAGGAGGCAGTATACACTTTCCATTTTATTCCAAGTGCAGCTTTTCACAAGCCCTGGTGGCTGCAGAGTGACTGATTCAATAAAGATGCAGATGGATGAGGCTTCCTCAAGGGACTGCATCTGTAGGTGTGCCCCCCTTACACTAATCACAATCACGCCTGTGTCCGTGCCTGCTCTGTTCTATAGTGTGATGAGTTTGAGATAAACTTTTAGACAATCTGGTCCCAGGGTCAGGATTTCAGATCAGAAACAGAGGTGATGTTTGCTGGTTTTCCTAAAATAAAGTCACAGAAGGAAACTAGTTGGTTGTCATGTCTGCTATTTATAGTTAGTGGGTGAAAGGAATCAGGTCATATTATGCTTCTGAAAAAATATAAAATGAAATTGTTGACTGTCTGCTTTACTCATCTTACTCATGAATGAGTTTTGAGTTCTTACTCAAGATAAGCTTTTAAGCTGAAACATTCCTGTGGATATTAAAAAACTGACTACAGATCAGTGTGAAACTTGAGTGTAGTATGTTCAGTTATTCAGTTAGACCAAAGCACCGGAAAAAGCACACGCAGTCGCAGACACAAACATGCGTACATACAAGAAGTCACTTCCTGGTTTGACATGTGCAGTTAATCCGTTTTTAACACTCTGCTGCCACCTGCTGAAGACAACAAAGTGATCCCCTTTTCTTTTAAATTCTTTCTGTGTGCTTCCTCCTGTACAGAATATGGTTCACAAATTTCTCACTGGTTGTATCTCTACAGGATTTGTTGGACTGGCGGAATGGATGAACCTGACTGTTATGACATTATCTCACAGGGATTTCATTGTGGTTATCTTGCCTTGGTAAAGCCTGCTTTACAGACTGGGCATGGAGTTTGAAAAATTTGACCAATTACCAGGCAGGGGACGTCAAATGAAAGAAACTATCAAGTTGCATTGTGGGAAGTGTCGGCTCCAGCATTTTTGAGTCTTGACCTATGATATTGACCAATACTAGAGGCTAAAAGTCAGGATATCTGGCTTTGCTTCAGTTTGAACCATTCTTTTATTGATTCTGTCATGCTAGTCCCCAAATTTTATGTAAGTATAATACTAAATCACTGGACTGTGAGCCTTTGATGCAACACAATTACTTACGTATTATGCATCACGTTTCTACTTTATGTCTAAATTTTATATGTGCAAGGGGTAATCTGTTTGTAATCTATTACTTATGAATATGCCTGGTCTGTTCTGTACCCTGGAGTGTCTTTGCTGCTGCTTTTTGCCTCAGGCTTTCCATGTATGCACATGGATGGAGGTGCTCTCCCCGCCTCATTGCTTTACACATAGCCACGTGGAAGGGCTGGGAGATCCCAGAACAGAACCATACCACTAAACTTAACTTACTACGGCACAAATATCAGTTTCTTTGATGTAAGTTGTCTTGACTATACAGTGGGTACGGAAAGTATTCAGACCCCTTTAAATTTTTCACTCTTTGTTTCATTGCAGCCATTTTAAAAAAATCAAAAAAGTTCATTTTATTTCTCAGTAATGTACACTCAGCACCCCATCTTGACAGAAAAAAACAAATGTAGAAATTTTAGCAAATTTATTAAAAAAGAAAAACTGAAATATCACATGGTCATAAGTATTCAGACCCTTTGCTCAGTATTTAGTAGAAGCACCCTTTTGATCGAATACAGCCATGAGTCGTTTTGGGAAAGATGCAACAAGTTTTTCACATCTGGATTTGGGTATCCTCTGCCATTCCTCCTTGCAGATCCTCTCCAGTTCTGTCAGGTTGGATGGTAAACGTTGGTGGACAGCCATTTTCAGGTCTCTCCAGAGATGCTCAGTTGGGTTTAAGTCAGGGCTCTGGCTGGGCCATTCAAGAACAGCCACGGAGTTGTTGTGAAGCCACTCCTTCGTTATTTTAGCGGTGCTTAGGGTCATTGTCTTGTTGGAAGGTAAACCTTCGGCCCAGTCTGAGGTCCAGAGCACTCTGGAAAAGGTTTTCGTCCAGGATATCCCTGTACTTGGCCGCATTCATCTTTCCCTCGATTGCAACCAGTCGTCCTGTCCCTGCAGCTGAAAACACCCCCACAGCATGATGCTGCCACCACCATGCTTCACTGTTGAGACTGTATTGGACAGGTGATGAGCAGTGCCTGGTTTTCTCCACACATACCGCTTAGAATTAAGGCCAAAACGTTCTATCTTGGTCTCATCAGACCAGAGGATCTTATTTATCACCATCTTGGAGTCCTTCAGGTGTTTTTTAGCAAACTCCATGCGGGCTTTCATGTGTCTTGCACTGAGGAGAGGCTTCCGTCGGGCCACTCTGCCATAAAGCCCCGACTGGTGGATTGCTGCAGTGATGGTTGACTTACTACAACTTTCTCCCATCTCCCGACTGCATCTCTGGAGCTCAGCCACAGTGACCTTTGGGTTCTTCTTTACCTCTCTCACCAAGGCTCTTCTCCCCCGATAGCTCAGTTTGGCCGGACGGCCAGCTCTAGGAAGGGTTCTGGTCGTCCCAAACGTCTTCCATTTGAGGATTATGGAGGCCACTGTGCTCTTAGGAACCTTAAGTGCAGCAGAAATTTTTTTGTAACCTTGGCCAGATCTGTGCCTTGCCACAATTCTGTCTCTGAGCTCTTCAGGCAGTTCCTTTGACCTCATGATTCTCATTTGCTCTGACATGCACTGTGAGCTGTAAGGTCTTATATAGACAGGTGTGTGGCTTTCCTAATCAAGTCCAATCAGTATAATCAAACACAGCTGGACTCAAATGAAGGTGTAGAACCATCTCAAGGATGATCAGAAGAAATAGACAGCACCTGAGTTAAATATGAGTGTCACAGCAAAGGGTCTGAATACTTATGACCATGTGATATTTCAGTTTTTCTTTTTTAATAAATTTGCTAAAATTTCTACATTTGTTTTTTTCTGTCAAGATGGGGTGCTGAGTGTACATTACTGAAAAATAAAATGAACTTTTTTGATTTTTCGAAAATGGCTGCAATGAAACAAAGAGTGAAAATTTAAAGGGGTCTGAATACTTTCCGTACCCACTGTAACTACCTATTTGTGGCATGCATAATTTTAAGACGCTCCTTTAAGTTTTTTTAAAGAGGGGATGATCCTAAAATTGCCTCCAGCACAAGCCAGTTCACAGGACAAAATTACATATATCACATGCAGGGGTCCAAAATCTGCTTCTGGAGAAAATCAGCCTTGGGAGACTTCTAGGGGTAGCCTATGAAAAAACATACCGTGGCAAACAGAAGCTAATGGTGCAAACTTACCCCCACAGATGTTACCAGGTACACAGAGGTAAAACAAAAAGACTTTGAGTAGCTGCTAACACAGCTAGCAGGTCACAGAGCCTTTACTAGCATCATGCTAATATTCTCACAATGACAATGCTAACTGTTATGGCAGAAAATTGTGTCCTCTTACATTTAGTCTTTTATGTATGTTCTTTCACTATTATTGTTATTATGTATTGTGTTTTATCCTTAACCTTTCCTCTCCTATACTACTTATGTTAGTCTGTCCACATTTACTAGAGTTTAGGTCAGAGCTGTGAGATTGTTTTGGTGCTTTCTCTCTCTTGGTGTTCCTCTCCTCTCCTGGGATGTTCATTCAATGCCGAGAGAGGATCTCTGTTCGCCAAAACATAGAAACCTAGCCTGTGTAAATGATGATGCATCCCTTTGCTCGGGGCCAGACGTTAGTGACTGTCTTAGGAGTCAGAACCTCTGGTCCAGCTGATTTGTGTTGTCTGTTTATTCTCTTTTGTTAAATAAATTCGTTGTAACTCAATTATTTGCTCAGCCCCTCACCAGGAATATAATTTCCACGACACTAACATCCTGGTGTTAAGCAGATATAATGTTTACCATGGTCACCATGTTAGTTTAGCATGTTAGCACGCTAACATTTGCTAACCTGCAGTAAGCCCAAAGTACAGCTGAGGCTGATGGAAATGACATTAGTTTTGAGTATTTGCCAAATATATCTGACAAATCAAAATTTTGACTTGACGAGTGCGCCATATGGAAAACTTAGGGATCACCAACATCGTTACAATTCACCTTGAGGGGAAAATAAATGGCTTAATGGAAATCCATCAAGTAGTTGTTGAGACAAGTCTGGACCAAAATGGTCAGTTGATCTGTCTACTCCTTTCATCCAGATTGGATGGATTTTGATGACATTTTATACAGACATTCATGGTCCCCACAGAGCTCACTGGTCACAGAACTGCTTGCAGGCTGTAGACTCTTGTTAGCTTGAGGCCACTTAATACAAAGAAGGGTCTTATTGGAGCATGCCTATGGTCTTGTTTACATCTGGAATCAACTTTGGTGATCCATTCACAAGTGGACAGCTCCAAGTACATCAGTTCACACCATAGACTGTGTAAGTTTCTGACATTAGAACGCGTCTCCACAATGTGCCTTGAGTGACCACTTGTGTTCGGATCTCACTTCCCCGCTCTATATGCAAATAAACATAAACATGATTTCCCATTGCACTGTTGTTTTTAACCTGAAATTGATTACTTTATTGTTTATCAGACCGTAAATGAGACAAGAATCAGGTTGGAAAAACAATAGACACTACCAGAGAGTGTTTCTGGTGGCTGCAACTTTATAACTTTATTCACTGATATTGGTGAAACTGCATCATAATTTATTGAGAAAATATTTTCAGGTTTTTACTTTGATGCCCTCCCGCTGCTCTGCCTCAACTCTCTGTCATTTATGGAGTTTCCTCATGGACAGATAGCTTTACTTGTTGCTAACCTAGGGTGACCAGACGTCCCCGTTGTGCACGGACGGTCCCCGGTTTTGGTGGCCTGTCCCCGTAGGCGGATGTCTAATATCCTTGTTTATATTTGGAACACAGAATGAAGCCTATAATTAACATGACTTACTGAGTTATATATAAAATAAAGACATGATCTCTTTTGCAATTATCCTTATGACTGTTATGACATTGTGTAACTTGCTGTGTACCAACCAATCCAGACCTTTTTACCTGTTGAAATACCTTTAAATGGCCAATACAACCCATTTAATGCAGTATTCCACTTGTCAGAAAGTGATTGCAGCTTCTACTTATGGACTGGAAGGTAGATTCTGCCTCAGAATTACTTGATTTCATTTATGAGGGTTAGGTTTTTGTGTTCAAAAGTGGTGGGGACATTTAAGGGCTCAGATTAGAGGTTGGACGAAACACTTAGGCCATGAGACATAATGATGCACAGCTTTGTGTCACAAGAACATGACAAGAATATATTATTATTATTATCCCCCAGAAGATTTTGAGCATTAAACACTTAATTTCCTGCATTCTGGAGACGTTTTCTGCACCATTTATGGTAGGAATGTCTTTAGGGACACCGTAAAATGGCCAAAACATCAAATAAAATGCAATATAACTGCTAGAAAGTGATTGCAGCGTCTACTTATTGACTGAAATGTTGTTTCTGCCTCAAAATGTCTTGATTTCATTTAGAAGAGTTAAATTTGACAGACTCTAACCAAAATCGTCCCCCTTTTTATTTCATATATAATAACATTATATTTTTTAATGACATACTGACCACCAAACCAAAAATGTCCCCAGTTTTCATTTCGGAAATCTGGTCACTTTATGCTAGCCGCTAACTCCTGCTAACTGTAGCTGCCGTTATGTAAGGATTACACTTTCCGGGTCCGTGACTATGTGAGGGTCTGCGTGACGAAAAAATCGTCATCAGAGGGGGTACGCATAGGCTATGTGCAGACGTCCACGTGCCTCACATTTTTATGAAGGTGTGGCCGACTACGCTACCAGGACACCAACCGATCTACTGCACATTTGGAACGAGTTCGCCAAGCTGACTCCAGAAAGTAGTATAAACAGAAGTTGTCCACACCCGTGGGGTTCTGGAGCTGTCGAGGCTTTAGTCTTTCAAGTCTTTTTTACTGTCTGCTTTGGCTTCAGACATCAATAAATGTAACTTTTTAACTTTTAATGCAATATAGCATGGCCTCATGAGCCATCCACTCTGTTGGATGGTACACACTTCAACAACTAATTCTATCGTAGTGGTACTAGACACGCAACATTTGTTCCAGGACAGAAACATGGAAATAAAACAATGGCCTAATGCACTAGCGGCTACAACTTGTTCAGTCATGTAGGTAAAATTTTGTGCCTGTTGAGATTTAAATTTTTTAACCTAGCTAAATAAATTATTTACTGCATGAAATTATGGAAACAATTATGAATTATGCATCATGAACACAGAGCATTTATGCAACAGCATGTTTTTGTGTTCATAAGAGTCCATTTTACATGTACACACTGGTGTTGCACAAATGAGTACGTACTTACGTTTATACAGAGGATGTCAGTTGAGTCGTGGTCCTGGAGTACTTGCCAGCATACGGTGCTAATATCGCCAGCCTGTCGATCCACTGAAACAACTTTGGCTTGCTTAGGTTTCAGCTGAGATCTGTTTAGAAGAAATTCAACTGAGCTGATGGGAATGGTATCTTAATTCAAATGGATTCATTTTCTCTCAGGGGACATGCACAAAACTCACACACTTCAGGCTTCACTGCGTGACCTGACCTCTGTCTCTCTCTTTTGAAAATATGTTTAAAATGCATCCAAAACAACAAATAATTTATGAGTTACTTCAATGGGAAATAAAAGAATGAAAGAACAGAAAACATTGAAAATTCCACAAAATGTATTTACAGATTTGATAGTGGCAAAGGAGGTGCTGGCTTCACTCAAATAGTTGCTAGTGTTCCAATTTGGGATGTCCCAAATTGCACAAATTAAGCACTGAGTATGTGGTACAGTCTACGTGTCAAACATTGGATTAGCTTGCATTGTTAGTTAAGGTCAACGGTATTCTAATCTGGTATGTCTGACGTGTTTTTAAAGCAGCAGATGGTTTGAGGCTTTAGTTAAACTGTAGTTACTCTGGTGCATCTTTAGGTGTGTGTTTTTAATACAGAGTAGCAGAGGCGGGTGGAGCAGTAGGACCCAGGGCTGCAGCAGCTGCAGGAAGGCAGAGAGCAGGCAGAAGGGAGGAGCCTGAATATAAACCAAACAACCCTCCACACCCTGCAGTCTCAGGAAGTTCCTCTGCATTCCTGCTATAAACACACACACACACACACACACACACACACACACACACACACAGACAGAATACTGAGAGGAACCACATACTGAGGCTGGGTGAGTATGTGCAGCGAGTGAGAGGGTGTTGTTCCTGGTTTCTTTTCAGGAAAAGTGAACAGATGTTGTTATCTTCGTGTTCATCTGTGCATGTGTTCAAACAGGAGTTTGGAGGAGGTATGCTGTAGGACTGGAGACCAGAACCTCATCATCAACACTCTGAAAGGTGTATTTCCTGACTCATCCTCTCTCTCCCGCTGTATGTCTTTCCCTCACTGTCACTTTCACTGTTTAAACATAACTCAATAACAATTAAGAGGGACGGTACCATTTGCAGTTATGTCGCTCTGTATCTGTGTCAGTCTTATCTTGTGTTTCATGAGTTTCTCTGTATGTCAGTGTAGCATCAAGCACAGTTGCAATGCAGTCAAAACAGAAGTTATTTTATCTGCTGTTAGTGCCGAAGTAACCACTGTTTCCTCTGGAGAAACTGAAACATTGAGTGTAAACTCATATTTGAAGGGTGCAGCAAAGTAACTGAAATGACAGCCGGAGTGCTAATGATAAAGTACAGTTTGCAAATTAATGGAAAATGATGCCTAACATTGCTGCATTTTCAGTCTCTCATGCAAATCTAAGGGCTCCATAACCAGTCTAATGATGTTTAATGTGCAAATGAAGTAAAGGAAAATGAAAACCATAATTGTCAATACCTGTCATACCTGCACCTTTTGCTAACAAAACTGTCATTCATAGCTTGAAGTTCTGACAGTGGCCTAATATCCTGTCCAGACTGACTGTGTCTCAAATCTTCAACAACATTTTCATCTTATTTCTTTTATATTGTAGCATTTACTCACAAAACACGTTTTTTTTTTTACTGTAGAGGTGAAGATTATATTAAACATATGTATATATTATATTGCCAGATTTGTTCAGCTTTTTGGACCACCATGAGTGTGAGACTGTTGTGAGGATGTACTAGGCAGAGCGGTACCTTAAGGTAAATGTTAACATCCTAACATGGTCAAAATTACCATGGTAACGTGTTGCTTGTGATGTAAATAATGTATCATGTTTACCATGGACAAAATCTTAGTTGAGCATGTTAGCATGCTAACATTTATTAATAAGCACTAAACACAAAGTACAGCTGATGGGAATGTCATCAGTTATTTGGTCATAAACCAAAATATTTGACAAAGTAAAAATTTGACCTGATGATGGCGCTAGATTAAAAGTTATTACAATTCATCCTGATCGAGATCCAATAGTTGTTGAGCTATCTGGTGGTGCTGCTAGAGGAAAAGTCATGGAAATTAATATAATCATTAGGATTTATCCTCTGGAAACCATGACTGTTCAACATTTTGTGCCAATCCGTCTAATAAATGCTGAGTAAAAACTTTGTAGATGTTAAGTCAGATCACCAAAGTCATTAGGATTTGTCTTCTGGAAAACCGTGAATGTCTGTACCAACTTTCATGGCAATCCAATAGTTGTCAAGATGTTTAACCTCCTGTTAATGCTAGAGCATAGACTGTAGGCTTTATCCTCTGGGAATCATGAATGTATGTATAAAAAAATAGTGGTTGAGATATTTTAATATGGACCAAAGTGGTGGACATACAGACTGACATTACCATTGCTAGACACGTGACAATGGCGTGGCTAAAAAAACAAAAAAACAAGCACTATTTAAATAGTGTAACAAGGAGGAAACCTCACAATTCTTTTTAGTTTCACAAAAGTTAGTGATGATGGAACAGTAAACAAAAGAGCTCAACAAGCACAACACAGCAAACTATAAACTCTTGTTAACATTTCTTCTCAGGCTCACCATGAGTAAGGCAGGTGGTGATGAAATTGGCGGTGGCAGCAGCAGTGAAGGAGCCCATCAGCCGGAGAGTCCCTCAGAGAAGGTCCTGAGCAAACTCAGTGCCACCACTTTGCCTATTGGACACGGCTGGACCAAAGTTAGTTGCCCCTGCTGTGTGTCGGAGCGGGTCGAGCCATTGGTTCTGGTGAAGCTCGGAGAGAAAGTTCGCCCTGAGACGAAAAGGTGGCTCATGAGACTGATTGGAGCTCCTCAGAAAGATGGAGGTGAGGACAGTGATAACAGTGATGATCTGCAGGAGTCCTGTATAGATCACTTATATGTCTTCACTGATTGCAGCCTTAAATCTTACAGATCAAACATTTATAAGCTTTTCTCTCTCTCATTATGGAAGTCTATTGCGCAGGAGAGGCATTGCGCAAGTCACCTTTACATTTCTATGGATACATTTTACATGTACACAGAAAAACACCAACAAATCCTTGTAGAGCAGAATTAACATTCAAAAGAGAGCACTCAAATGTTTTAATCATCTTAAATCCAGCCCACAACACAGCCTCCATTCCAAAGTCCTCCAAACCCAAGATCTGAGCCCAGAAGAGTCCACTATGTCAGATGGTGCTGAGACTGACTGCCCCCCTTAGACAGTGTCACAACAACACTGCTGTCCAAACAACAATCAGAGTAAACCAATCAAATGCAAATGTAAGGCTGACATAGTGATGTACTTCCTCCTACAATGTAAAACATTCACTGAAATAAGGAATATTTCAACTCTGTAATCTTAGATTTCAAAGAGCTAAATGAGCTCTCAAAAATTAAAAGTACTCCCGGGGGAAGGAGACATATCTTGCTGCCCAATACGTATCAGGATGGCACAACCTGAGGGACAGTGAGTGACACACACAAAATGTTGTAGTATTTAAATAGTTCTCAATTATTTATATTTGTATTCTCTTGCAAGGTTATGTTTTACAAAGAATATGGTCTAGACCTGCTCTACATACAAATGCTCAATTAGATAACTTACATGTTATGAATTGAAGCTATATAAATAAAATTGAGTTGAACTGAATATATATTTAATAGCACTGCTCTTCTGTTTATGTTTTTATTTCACGCAGGCTTTGGCATTATAAATTTTTGTTTCCCATATCTCTAAAGCCCAGTGAACTGAATCTCAACATAGCTAAGACAGAATTTATCACCCAATCATGCAGAATTGAGTCAAATCATGCAAAACTGACCTTACCTTTAACTCAAATCCCTACCCCTGCCTGGATGTTTAGATAATATATCACCTACTGAAAAAAAGTTTCATATTTAAAAGAAGCTTAATAGTTTAAGGATGAATTCTCATTTTTGAAGTCTGACACAATTTACAAAATAAGAGTTTCAATACTTCCTCTTTGCTGCACCGTCTCACCCCAGGTGCTGGATTACTGGCCCACCCGGGCAAGGATGCCAGTGGTAACATCATTGTGGTCTCCGCTCCACGCTGTACGTTACTTAGAGCCACTGAAGAGTTGGGACTATGTAAGACTTACCGCAACGAGGACATGGCAGCCTTCTCCTACAACGACAGAGACAACTTTAAAGATTCAGGTACTGCAGTGGACACACACAAACATATCAGTCAAAAAGTAATGTATTTATGTATGTATTGTAATAACTCAAATTAACAAACAAATGAACTAACTGGTGGGGTGTGCAAGTAGGAGAGACATTGGTCATGTCAGAAGTGTGTGGATGAGTGAGAATATGGCAAACCAAACAAAGGACAAAAGCTATGCAGTAGGCCCACTGAGAGAGAGTAAGACAATCCTTTATGCCTTTTAAGAAGCCCAGCCCATATTGACAGGTACGAGTAGGCGACCATCCCAGCTCCACCCATCAGCTAACTCCCAGGATCTGCAAAACAGCTTGTAGAGCAAGACAAACAGGCAGGCAGAGTGGGAGGGGTTGTCACGTTGTTGAAACAAAATATAAGAGAGGGTGTGTATGGTTAGGGTTAGCATTTCCACCACAAAGAGAATGTCTTAATGTTAACTTTACTAGTTGCTCTGTTTAAAGGCCTGTATCTGTTTGGGATGAAACAATTCCCACTTATTTCTTCAGTCTGTTTAGGTTTATCATTTTATTTTGTCCCTCTGATCTAACAGTAACACCCTGTTGCTAAGCTATAAAACGAATACCCAAACAGTCTTGTAGCTGCACACAATACAAAGTTCAGTTCAGTTGTGTTGTGTTTTCCATGGCTTTTGTTCAAAGCCCATAGCCCACTTGATTATACAAATAAAAACCGTTCACTTCAAATCACTTTTTTACCTTTTCTACTGGATTATCAGAAATGACATGGGCAGTATAAGAGTTGTTTTCATTTAAAAGGCAAACTGTAACTATAATCTGTGACAGAAATATGGAATTTGGATCACGTAATCACAAGTGTGCATTTAGTATAAGAGGGTCTCTGTTCAAAGACGGTCTCTGGCGTCATATGTGAATGTCCTTCTTGTCTGATGTCCATTGACTTATGGTCGATGAACTTTGACCTCTTTGATGCGGTAAGGAGTTTTCGTCTATTTTTTTGGTCAGACAGCTTCTGGTATTAATTCAGTCTCTTGTCCAGGGTCCTTACTATTTCACCGGTGTACTGCTGTCACTTTCACTAGAAACTCCCTTTGTACATGAAATAAGTGGTGTCAAAATACAATTATAACTATAGTATGATCTGACCTAAGTTAAAGTTGGTTCTGTCCTGCCAGCTGAGGTCCTGTAATAGCCACTTAATGGACGGATGTTGAATGGATGTTGAAGTGTCCTTGGGCAAAAATCTTTTGCTCAGAATAATCTTTTCTTTAACTCTTGAGAAAACACTAAGATCTCAATAGTATATCTTTTTGAGATCACTCCAATCTGAATTGTTGCTCCTAAAACCCCTTAGGAGAAAGGATGAGATGAAGTGAGATTGAGGTTTTGAGACTTGGGTAAGACAAATGGATACTGAATTGAGATTACAACAGGAGATTGGAAGTCACAGGTGAGATCTCATCATTGTATCTTTTTGAGATCACTCCAATCTGAATTGTTGCTCCTAAAACCCCTTAGGAGAAAGGATGAGGTGAAGAGAGATTGCTACCATGCTAAATATAGATGACACAGTAACATGGTGGCATGTATGATACTGAACATGTGCGTTGTAATTGTCAACATGTTAGCATGCTGATGTAAAATGTAGGTTAAAGCACCATTGTGCCTCAGCACTGCCTCACAGAGCTGCTAGCATGGCTGTAGACTGTCGGGCTTGTTCTTTTAAAAACTGTGTTTTCATTCTTGTGTGTGTTTACATCATGCATCACTGGCTACATGCATGTATCATTCTATCTGTGTCCATCTGTGTCTAATCATGTGTGTGATAGACAACATGGAGATGTTCCTGACCCTGGCGGAGCGGCAGTACATAGTGAAGTATGAGCTGGACGGTATGCGGGCACAGAGAGACCTGAGAGTACCAGGTCTGGCTGACAGCTACACACTGCAACACAGAGACAACATCTGTAAGTGCTCTTACTGTGTTTTCACATCAATATGAGTACGACAGGGTACACACACTGTAAAAACATCCATCGAGATAAATACTTCATTGTTGGATCTATGTGAAGACAACCTACCAGGGAATGGGAGGATTTCAGTTTTTTTTTTGCAATTTGTTACATTTTATAATTTCAATGAATGCCTCTGGACAAAGATGGAAACACAAACGCACACACGCACGCCGCATGCACACACGCACACACACACACACACACAAACAAATAACAACAGCTTAAGAATTTGTTAAAGAGGTCATATTATGCTTTCTGGTTTTTCCCTCTCCTTTATTGAGTTATATATCTTTTTTTGTGCATGTAATAGGTTTGCAAAGTGAAAAAACCCAAAGTCCGCCTTAAAGGGAGTTCCCATCTCCCACAGAAAACACTGCTCCTGAAGTGCCTGGAAACAGCTCGATTGTAGTCCAGTTTTTACTTTCTGCATCCCTATATGTAACATTTATCCAGTCTAGGTTGAGCAGCTGGCTTGTTGTCTGTGTTTTGAGAACATGTACGGCTAAACCAAAGCCATGGTTGCCAGCTGAAGCGGCTTTGTTTTGGATCACACTACCTAGCTTGTCAGGTCCTACTCTGTTTCTGATTGGCTAGTTCCTTACCTAGGTACTGCGCATGTGCAGCTCCCAAAAAGTATCTTATACAAGTGAGATGCTTCACTCGGTAGCTAAAACAGAGTCTTCTACACACATGGTGAAAAGAGGTGCTGCAGCCATGTGCATGACAAAGATATGGTATTTCTTGAAAATAAAACCTTGAAAGTCTGTTCTGGGACAACCCCTAAATAAAATAATGAACCTGAAAATTAACATAATATGACCTCTTTAAGACATTTTTTGCAGTGCACTTATCTCATCACATTATAAACTAGGGGTGCAAATCTTCACTGTTCTCACGATTCAATTTGATTTGATTACGAGTACGATTATCCTGTTGACGATTCAATTCGATATCACGATACATCAGGATGCGTCACCTCTAAGGGTGGGAATCTCTATGCAACTCACGATAATGATTATGAGGGCTATTGAGATTGTAAAACAATTAGGATGAAGATTTATTTTTTTCACTGTGTGACTACTTGGTACTTAAAAACAAAGTATTTGTAATGATTCAACTGGGTAGGAGTAATGACATGTAGCTAACGTTACATAGCGTAATTACATTATAACAGCATTATTACTGACCTCATTGCTGCTATTTTATTTCTATAGATTCAGGAATGGGTTGCCCCCACCGCGTTCACTCTGCATTAATAGAGCTGCTCTTTTTTTTGTCTCGTCTAGTGTAGTTACATGGTTGTGTTGTATTGTGTCTTTTCTTTAAGTGGATTATTGTGACCTTGTTTTGAGCACTAAAGACTTTGAGAAAGGGCATTTCGTTCATTTGTGTTCTTGGTATGTGTATGAATGACAATAAACAAACTTGTACTAACTTTCCTGCTCAGCTTCCAGACCGCAGTCTGAAGACGTGATTCTTGCTAGAGCTAACCGCCTTCACTTTTCCAGCGGTTGGAACACAACAGACAGACTGAATTAACGGACACACAAGCCATGTTTCCATCAGCGTTTTTTAATGCGCATTTTGAAGTATCGCATTAAAAAAGGTTGATGGAAATTCGAAATTTCGCAAAAAACATTTACGCTGGCTTGAGGTGATTTTTGCCTTTGTCGAAATGGGAGACACTTTTTCCAAATAAGTTCTGATGTAGCGAACTTGTAACTCACGACTGATCAGCTGTTTCTGCTGTCTGTATCTTGCCCGGTTGTGCAGAGTTCTGCACGCCTGCCGAGAATTTCATGCACCTCATGGCTGGTAACACTCATTTGTGCTGAGAAAAGAGGTGGATGCAAATCTCAGCAGGTAGCCTTCATCATCTGTTCTGCCGAATTATGCATTCACCTGTTAAAGGTCCTATTCAGATACTTTGCTCTGCACACTGATCAAACAAGGTTATCACAGCATATTTTTGCTGAATCTCAATGAATGATAGGCCTACTTCAGCTGCGTGTAATAAAATATTAATGACTCTAAACGTTAACAAAATACATACTTTGAATCATTAATCACCATTGATCCCCACAAAGGATATTATAGCGTTTAAAAGCATTATTTGGCGGTGCATGCAAAACTCTGCATAACACCGGATATTCCCATAAGGTGCGGAGACATGGCTGGTAGCAACTTGCCCGCTTGAAACACATTCTTGAGGACCTCTCTCTGTTTTTCTAAGAAAAATGGCCCTCAGGTTCATGCGACTGGTTTTGTTTCTGGTTTGGAACCCAAACGTCTTGTTTATTACAGCCATGTCTAACGTCAACAACTAATGTAACTACTGCCGCAGCCTGTTTTAGTTGCTCCAAACCAGCTGATGGAAACGCACCCATTTTGCAATTTTATTTCTTCATTTTAGCAACATTTCAAAAGTACGCTTAAAATTCACATGACAATTGGATGGAAACATGGCTACTGTGACCTACACTGTACATTTACTGACAGACTGAAAGTTACTGCTAATCTTTTTCTCTGCCCCTCTCACTTTCACCGTCACTTTCTCCAGCCTGTCACGTAGATGTCCTTTGATGAATGAGGAGAGGACCCTATCCAAGCAATACTGTTGGGTGAAAATCATAAGTTGCGCGATTAGGGGGGACCCGCTTCTGTTATGTGCACACCACAGACAGTCTGGTGCTGCCTTTTTCGTTCTGTCAACATTACATTATCAATTAACATTCTGAAAATCGATTTCTGAAATTTGGGAATTGATAGAGAACCGTACAAGAATCAAATTTTCCCTACCCTTATTTTAGACTCCGATCCAGTATCCATATTTTTCAGCCTTATTGTACTGGATGTATGTAAATGTAAATGTGTGGATTAGTTGTTGTGTAATTGAAAAAAACTGTCCCCCTTTCACCAGTGCCATGTTCTTAAGTCTCTCTGGGTTGGAGAATAGCTTTGATGTCACATGTGTAACGCTGTGTTGTTGCAGGGCAGAAGCTTGGGTCAGCTGGTGTTATTGTGGACATGTTTCCCCTCCACATCCCAGGCAAACTGAAGGATCTCAGTAAAGCCTGGTACTCTGGGAATCAGCTGGCTCAGCCACTGGGTAAGAAATGCAACACACACACACACACACACACACACACACACACACACACACACACACACACACATACGCACTACCACATAACTGCTTGTACACACAGACACTAATGCAACTATGGTCACAGTTTTTCATGCATGTGTCACCCCTGTGGGGAGTTAGACTTTACAATAGATGGCTGTGTGGGCAACCTTCTATTTTCTGCCTGTAAGACAAGTGAACAGTGTATGCACTTACACCAGAAACCTTTGTGTACATCTTCATCCAGATTCAGTCAATGGGTATTTTGGAAGCTCTGTGGCTTTCTACTTCAGCTTCCTTGATTTCTACACCTGGTCTCTGCTCCCACCAGCGATACTGGGCCTGTCCATCACATACTTTTCAGGTAGGTGTGCAGATTTATCATTAGTTTTTGTTACATATACCATGTAAGCTGAGCATCAATCCATCAAAATTAAAACATGTTGCACAATTCCAGTATGCTACGCTCAAATGTTCTTGGCTTTATTTACTTCTGGTAGACAGTAGTAGTGCACTAAGTTCTTCTTGCCCATCACAGGCGAGGTTCAGAAGGACATGGAGTCGGTCTCTGGCTCAGGAGTCACAAGGGTTGAAGATGAATCAGCAGTTGTCAGCGGCCACATGATCCAGGCAGTGTTCAGCATTCTCTGGTCCACGATTTTTATGGAGCTGTGGAAGCGTCGGAGCGCCTCGCTGTCCTACCGCTGGGGGACCCTGAACCTCGCAGAGCGCTTCGCAGAGCCCCGGCCCGGTTTCCATGGCGAGGTCGGGGTCAACCCTGTGACAGGTCGTGTGGAGCCGCTCTTTCCTGAATGGCAGAGGGACCTGCGTATGGCACTGGTGTCAGTCCCAGTGGTGGGGCTGTGCTTAGGTAGAACTTGAATTTTAAAGTTGAATTGAATGAATTCATCAGTGCATGTTACTGAGCTGAAAGGTACCATGATATTCATTAGTTGCTTAATCAACAACTCAAGTAAAATAAGTATAAGAGATGTTTTCCAAAGTCTGCTAACGATAAAACATCATGTAAAGGCCAGCTGCTGACGAAGTGATACAGAAGTTTGTGAAACATGTGAAAGCACTTAGACACAAAGGATGCTCTGCCAATCAAAATTTCAAAACCAGCCTTGCCTTCAGCCTCATGTCTCGTGTCTGTTATGACTCCTCCTGCAGGGTTGGTGGCACTGGGTATGCTTTGTTTCTACTGGGGGGAGGCCCAGGTGCAACAGCTACACAAAGACTGGGACTCCCTGTTGTCTCAGACTTTGCTCTACTTGCCATCAATGCTTCACATTGTCTATACAAACATGTTGGCGACTGCTTACAGGAAGGTGGCACAGTCTCTGACTGAATATGGTGAGTTAGAAAGAATGGATGCCATAGGGAGAATAAAAATCATACATGTATGAATACAGAGGCAATAATATTTGTCTGATACTAATGATGGTAAGCAATGAAGGATATGTGGCAAAGACTCAGTCATGTTAGGGGAACGGCTTATGGGAGGGAGACAGGGACACAAAGAGAAAAAGAGAAAGTAAAATAGTCATTTGGTCAATCAGGCTATGCAACCTTACCAACAGTACTGTTCATAATGCTTATGATTAGCAATTAATTAAGCTTATATTTCCCTTTAGAGAACCACAGAGAGGAGTCTGCCTTCGAGAACCATCTGACAGCCAAAGTCTTAGTGGTCAGTTCCTCCTCTCCTCTCCAACCATGAGTTCTTACATCTTCTTAACCCAGCAGACACTTTTACCAGGCTCTTTTCTTTCTTCCGCCAGTTCACCTTCTTCAACTACTTTGCAGTGCTCTTCCACATCGCCTTCTTCAAGCAGGATGTGCCTTTGCTTCGAAAGGTAACAGTTTATCTGTTCCACTCCTTTGAAAAAACAGTAATTTTACCATGCAGATCATATTAAAACACACCTAAGTCAAACTCAACAGAAACTATGAAACTCAGGAAAACCGCCTTTGTTGGCATTTTCACTATTCCAGCAATTACCAACTCTGGTTCTTTTGTTGAAATAAACCCTTAATTCAATGTGTTAGATGAGAAAAGAAACTGCTGTTATATCGCTCCCACTCACAGGGACTAACCTACATGCATGGCCAGACCGGCTGTATAAAAAAAGCTGAGAGAAGCTGGAATAACAACACAGGCAGAGGGAGTTTAACACCATTCCCTGCTCAGAAACCCATTACTCCACTATATCTTTACATCCCAAATATTTATTTGCTGCTATAATAATGTTCATCCCGCGACCCTGTACTCAGGATAAGCGGTTGACGATGGATGGATGGATAATGTTCAGAATCTCATACACAGAGCCTTTAGGAGCTATTATTTGACCTACAACAACTTGTACAGTTGTGTCAATGTTGTTCACACTTTTATTCAATTTTCTGTCCCTAGGTAGCTAGCTAGCTATGTAGGAAAATGATATTGCCACTTTTAATTCAACCTACAAAGCTTTGATTGGTCAATTGTTTCTCGAACCAGTGGAAACAGCTCTCAGAAAGCACAACAATAGGAAGAGATATGGTCAGCAATTCAGAGGTCTGGAACCAGAAAAGAGCAGTACTTCTCACAGGACATAAAAAGGCTTCTGAGTGACATTAAATTCTCTTTCTCTGTCTAAAGCGTCTAGCATCATTGCTGATAGTGACACAGCTGGTCAACCAGTTCACAGAGGTGGTCATACCCTACATGGTGGATCGGTTCATCAGTGCCCCCTATAGGACAGAGAGTGAGGACGATCCAGAGGAGGACAAATTTAGGAACCAGAGCAACCTACCTGCTTTCCCTGTGAGTGTGCAATATTTAGAAAAGGTGCATATCAAAACAGGTACTAGAATACACTCTGGCTGCGTATGACACAGCATCTTGTTTTTTCACAGGGCCTGTTTGCAGAGTACATCGAGCTCCTGGTGCAGTTTGGGTATTTGAGTCTTTTCTCCTGCGTGTATCCTCTGACGGCTTTGCTGCTGCTCATCAATAACGTAACGGAGATCCGAACGGACGCCTACAAGATCTGCAAACTCTTCCGCAAGCCCTTCTCCCCCCCTGTAGCTAACATGGGCGTGTGGCAGGTCTGCAGAAAGTTACAACGCACAATAGAAGTCAGACGCACAAAGTATGTCACACTCAGCCAGTTATGAATTAACAACTCATGTGATTGTGTTGTGTTGCAGATCGCATTCGAGGTCCTGAGTTTTGCCTCTGTTGTGACCAACTGCTGGCTAATGCTTCTCTCACCACAGTTACAAGAGCTGTTTCAGGGGGTCAGGATGAGCAGCACAAACATTCTGCTGTTGGCTGTTTTAGTGGAGGTAAGGAGGTGGAAGGAGAGGTCACATCCAAATGTAGAATGGGCATTTTCTAAAGAAAATGCACACGAGAGCTGCCAGCTGTTAGCTGTTAGCTGTGGTGCAGCTCCGTCAGCAATTTAAATCCTGTGCCACTACCCACAGGTATAAGAATCTACCACTTGCCACAGATTCAGCAAACATGTCTGTTCAGGTTTCTTCCATTTTGTTAATATGCCCTGAACAGAATTAAAGCCCTAAACCTTTGGATCTAAGACCTTAACCACCAGCCTATGAAGACATACTGTAAGCATAACTTTAATTAGTTAATCAGATGTGTTCAATACACATAAAATGCCCGTATCTCACCAATAGAGGGCACTCAATGACCACAAATGCCTGGCACACCATTGTTATTCTTGTAAATATTTTCTGTGACATCTAGTGCACTGTTGCAGAAGAAAATGAAGACACAGATAGCAACTAATCTTATGAAAGACTTATTTCCATGTAAACAATGATTGCATGTAGAAAGACTGACAATATGCAAATTTTAAAGCAAAAGTTCAAAGCTGTGACCCCTATCAGCTGAGGAGGGAATTGAACCTGTGTCTGGCACCATACATACTGCTTTGAAGACTGATGTTCTACCAACGGAGCTATTGAACTACACTTCTTTCAAGGGATACAATTTGATGTTTTGTTGATAGAAGTGGACCTGCCTTAAAGTAAGCTGTAAGCTTTTAAAGTAGAGTATGTTGGACGAAAGTTGAGATTCTGCTCTCACAGAAACCCATTCATTTTAAAATGCTTAAAAATATTAATATAAAATCAACTGTTACAGATATCAGCAATAAAAGTAATAGCATGCATCTCATGAAGATGTATAGCTCTCACAATAATAATTACATCTGTGTGTTCCTCTGACATCTTTACATCTTTGTGTGCTTGCAGCATGTGCTGATCTTGGTTAAGGTAATTTTGGCATTACTGATCCCTGATGAGCCGAACTGGATCCGAAAAAAGAGAGAGCGTATTGAGTACACATCCATGCAGGCCTTGAGACAGCAGGTGAACCCCCAGACATTTCATTATTCAACATTTCAGTGTTGTCCTTCATCTGTGTGACAACGTTTCTTTCTCCTCCTCTAGAGGCAGCATTCTGAAGAGTCCTGATGCGTTAAGGGTGATGTTTTATGTTGCCCTGTGCTGAGCTGCTACAACCACAAGATACATTATCAACCTCATGGCCGGGCCACACTACCTGAACCTCTTGCTTTGCATTTCGGTGTCCATGTTAACAGGTTAGAGCAGCCACAAAGCAATTGAGTGGTGGAACATATAAATTTCAATGTGTGTTTCATTTAAGTGTAACGTTAACGCGTTAGGAAGATCGCCTGTGCACACCTACACTTGATGGCATAAGCACATATATGCCACACCAATACTACAACTGACATAACAAAATTAACTTAGTCTTGTGTAGGAGCAGGTGTATGAAGGAGACGTCTGGTTACCAACAGGGTGCAAACTACAGTGGAGTCAGGAAAAGCAAGCTCCCCTAAAAACATGATTAGGAAATTTTGGGGGGGGTCACTGAAATATTGACAAAATGCGATTTTTACCATTCATTTCCATTTTTCTGTATCTTCATCATCACTGATCATGCGTAAAATTAGGCTATCGATTTATGATTCATGCATGAGAGTGATTTATCAGTAATTCACTCAAATGAAGATGCTGGCATGCATGCTATTCTGTCATCACCACTGAAGCGTGGTGTTGCAGTATCATAAACGGTCACCCACTTTAACTCAAACATCAGAAATAAATGAACTTTCTTAGTCCCACTCAGTCTGCGCTCCAAATCGCCATGATTTGTTTAAGATAATGCACCAGGTGAAATGCTGGAAAAGCATTACCCTTAGGCAAGCGCCTGTCCAACAATGTACCAACCCCCACCCCCAGCAATGCCACATGTGCCTATACATGTAACAAAAAATTTTTGAATTTAGAAGTGTTAGCTGTAGTGTCAGGCCTTGCTCGATAGTGCAGCACACTTGACCATTTTAGCTTCGATCAACACCTGCTCCTACACCTAACTAGGTTAATTGGGTAAGTGGAGTACAAGGCTAAGGTTAAGTTAGGATTTGAGGTACTGGTGTACACGAGTATTGTTATGTTACACCTCTCATATCGCACACGGCCGCAGCTACTCTTCATTTAGTATCAGAGTCTTCCCAGTTGTTTCCACCTTCTGTATCCGTTTCAGATTTAAAGCCCTCTAGTGTTTCTCTGGACAGAATCCATTCACTTGTTAACAAGGCTTTCATTGTATTGTATTTATGAAAGGCAAACTCTATGTAGAAACATAAGGCTGGCAGTATCAGCACCGCAGCAGCAATGCTGTCTGTGTGGACACCACACGTGCGTGAGCCGCAGCAGCTCAGCAAGGTAACAGTCATGCACAGGTAATGGTAGGCAGTGTGGCCCAAGCATTAGTGTTGTGTGGGATCTCTAGCAGGGTCCACAATGCATACTGCTGTGCCCCTAATACTCCCCCTTTATACTTTTGAAGCGTTCTGCTGCTTTTACTAATAAGCATGGTGCTTCTGTATGCAAGGGTATCCCCCATAAAATTTTTAGCCTTTAACACTTCATTTTCTGTATGCTGGTGAACTTTTCTGTACCAATTTCTGCCTTTTCAACTTGTTGAAAGTCTTTATTTATGTAAAGGGAAAATTTAGGTGGCAGGTGACAATTCAAAATATAGAAATGTAATGGAATATCCTTTTGGTTTATGTTATTCTCTCACTTATTGTATACCAAATACATTAACTAGACACTGACAGACAACAGTGGTTATATTGGATTTTATTGATCCAAATTGTTGCTAGGAACAGTTCACTAGTTGCTGGAAATTGGTAGGATCATGTCCATCCCTACCTAATTCTACACCCTTGCTGAAATGTGCACCATTTGAAATGCACAGATTATATATAACATGTACACTGCAAGTGCAAAACTAAAATGTGTTTTTCCACAATATTACACAGCGAATGGAATGTAATGGTTATGTGTACAGATACCCTTTTAAAAGGTTATGTTATGATACACAGTGTTGATTCAAATGTAATGAGGGGAACTCTTGTAAAATCACTACAGCTACAGTGCCAGTCAGTACTTAGTAAGGGACAGACAGGACAGATTATTTGACGTTACTGGCCGAGGCAGAAATGTATGACAGAATCACAGCCTTATCTAGCACAGCTTTATTTCCAGAAAATCATCCATTTGTCTATGGCTCAATCAAATTGAGAAAAACAGATAGATTGTAATCCTGTACTTAAATTTGCACTTGTAGTTTCAATGCTCAGCTTACAGTGAAAAGAGTGACACGTTATAGAGGCATGTGAAGAATTTTACAGTGGACTATTAACTGTTCTACAATAATGGATTTATCATCTGTGTGTGTACTAAATTCACTTTCTTATTTGAATTAATTAGTTGAGTCATTTGTAGAAAATGGTGCACTTATACTTTCCATTGATGACCCTGTCCTCTCCTTAAATAATCACTTTAGGGTTATAAGACCATATGACACCTGTAACACGAGATGAGTACAGTAAACTATGTGCCAAGATTTGTTTTTCAATGAAAGTTTTGGGGAGCTACCAAAGAACTGCTGTGTGCTTTGCTATTAGAAATGTATTATTTTTATATGTGTGGGTTTCATTCTCTACTCACTTGTGAGTTTGTTGTGTGTCTCTAAGAATGATTGCTTGAGTTTACCTGGCTGCAACAGCTAATTCACCTTATAGGTACTGATACGTCATACATTTATACGAGTGTTATATTTCACTGTTCACTCTTCACTGCTGGCAGATTTGACTTAATTTAATAAATGTGCAGATGAATCCACCGGGGACGTCCACCATTTCATCCATACTTGCTTAACAGTGTATTGTTTACTACTGTATATGTAATTGTTATGAAGAGTTAGAATTTTTTCCAGCCACCAGAAGGCACTATATGCTGTCCATTTTATTCCATGTGCAGCAAGCCCTGGTGGCTGCAGAAGGACTGATTCAATAAAGATGCAGATGGATGGTGAGGCTTCCTCAAGTTACTGCATCTGTAGGTGTGCACACTTGACAATAATCATAAACCTGTGTGTGTGTGCTCTGTTCTGAAGCGCTGTGATGAGTTAGTAAAGATAAACTTCACGTCAGAAACACAGGTGACGATGTTTGCTGGCTGTCCTGCAATAAAGTCACAGAAAGAAACTGTCTGGTTGTCATGTCTTCTGTTTATACTTATTTGAGTATTTTTATTTAATGTTACTTTAGGCTTCTACTCCATTACATGTACTTTTTACTCCAATACAGTTTTTTGACAGCTAACAACTATATAATAGTTTGTAACAGTTCTCTGGCCCACAGTGATTTACTAAATGCATTTTGTTAGAGCTCACATGAACATTTGGCTTATCGTTACGTATCAGAATAGCATCACCTGAGGTATTATAAGCTGAGAAGCACGGTTTGATTAACCCACTATGGGGCTCTGGGACAAAAATGAACTGTGAGCCCATATTGACCCCCCAATCTCTGTGCTTTGTGTGCATCCTATCATTTGAGTTGCAGTTGTGCTTTAGTGGTGCACATTTTCAAACAGATGCAATTCACTGACATACAGTGTCCGTGGGGCTTTCGGGGCCACTGGAGGTTTGGAGCCCCAGGTGCCCAGGTTGCGACTCCAGCCTCGTTGAGAAGGGGATATTTAGTTTCTGGTGTGTGGGAGAAACTACACTGTACATCGTCCATGCATGCGTTTTCTATAAAACAGCACACGGCACACATTCATCCTGTTTATTTAATCCATTTTAATAAATAAATACAGAAAAATAAGTTCATGGCTCCATAGAGACGTGGTCGTAGTCACAATACAGGTCAGTAGACACAGACACGCTGAGGATAAACAGGCTGCAATCACACAGGGACAAATAATGGGATTGTATCCCTCTTCTGCACAGATTTTATGCTTCCATGGCTGATGAAATGAGTGATAATCAGATTTCACGTGACATCTGCTCCTTTATATAGGCAGAGACCGTTCCATCACAGGTCACAAGTTAAAAATCCAATTTGTTGAAACCATGAAGCTGCAGTGATAAGCTCTGTTTACTGAACTATAGGGGGAAGATGTAGCTTATTGTACAGCTTTGGCCTTCTTTAACTGTTCTTTACACAATTTTAGACTTCTTGTCTCAGCTTCAAAAGAGGAAAAATAAAGTGTGTAAGAGAAAATATAGAAAGACAAAGAGGCATTATATGGTAAATACTACCATACAGAGGGACTCCTCAGCTACATAATAACATAAAACTGTCATTTGGTCTATATGACCAACAACAAGTCTATCCATCAGTCCCAGGATACTGCTTGTAAAAGCTACCAGTAGTCATACTGTGTGCAATTCATCATTGAGTGGGTTACCTCAAGGTACTTACACAAGAAAAATGTCTTGTCAGATCATAGACACATGGAGGTATATTGTGATAAACAGTAATAACATGCACAAAGTCCTGTATCTCTTCAGAGTAATTATATCTATGTCACGTCATAAAAAAAAATCAAGGAACTTCTGAACATCCAAAATAAAGCTGTTATGATCAAATAGTATTAACCTGTTAGAATTAAAAAGAACAAGTTCAAAGTACAATGGAAGACCTGCATCCTGATCAATGATCCTATCAATACTATTATACTCTATGTTAAAACAATCCATTATATTAAGACTTTAGGATTTAGAGAACAGAAAATCGTATCATCATCTCAGTCTTAGGCATATATTACATAGTATCATATCATATCATCTCATATCAAACAGTCTTAGTCTTTCTTTCATCGAGCTTACATTAAGAGTTTTATAAACCAATGAGAGAAGCAGGTTGTGCAAAGGAAAATAGGAAACGGGTGCTACTCTGTAGCAGAAGCTGGTCCAAAGTTTATTCTAACTCACATATTTTAAAATATGAAATCAGAGATCTACTGAGCACTAGACCATTTTGACTTTTAGAGCTTTTTAAAGTCAGAAACAAAATGACACGGTGGCCATGTACTATACAGGATGAAACCCATTTTATCATTGTAGGCACCTTTTAAACAAACAAATATATAGACTATAGCTTATTCAATAAAAACTGTTGCAGTCATTATTTTTATTTCTTGCTGCAATCTTCTTTCTTTAGTCTTCCTCCTTCCTGTAGGTCCAGTATTGTTTCTAAGCTACAGATTGGACACAGTCTAGGCATTGTGATTCTATGGTTGTTTCTGTACACAGCAGCAAATGCATGAGGTTCTACTAATTCTGACTATGTGCTGTACACCACCTCTAGCACAACACAATGTTCATTACATGAGCACAATGCTAGAACTGAGTGTTTGTGGGTATGAAGCTGTACACGTCCCATCCTGTACACTGGGTGTTTGCATGCTGAGGGTCTTTGCTCTCTTGCCTCCAGGTCTCTGCAGCAGACAGGCTCAGCAGGGAGCTCAGTGGCTTGCCACTTCACAAGGTTTGTGCTTTGTAGCCAGCCACCTGCCTACTGCTAAACAGCCTGCATGTCCCAAGTGAGCAGCACATCACAGGCAGCACCCAGGCTGGTTTCACTTAAAGCACATGGCAGCAGTTGTACTGAGCCAGTGGCAGGATCTTGGGCTTGGTGTGTGTCGGTATGTTTAAGGCCAGAGCTTTCTCACACAGAGGGAACTGAAAGAGTCTCTCACGCAGCTTTATGCTGTGTCGTTTCCCCTGCTCGGCCTTCGGGGCAGCCTCATCCCGGGTGCCCAAAGCATTGTGGGGTTGAGATCTGTCTGTTATGAGGTCAACTCTTCCACCCTCCTCTGTTTTCTCGTCTTGTTCTCCTTCTCTTCCTGTTTTTTGCGCCTCCTTCTCATACAGGATGAGTCTCACAGAGGACGCAGGGACAGAAGTTTCAGGGAGGAGAGGAGCAGGTTTGTTGTTGTTGTTGTTAGGTTCAGTCTCCTCGTCCTTTCCTGGCTGCCCCTGACAGCAGGGTACCCCCAAACCAAGCAGAGATGATGGTGGAACTTGAGGTGTCTGACTGACCGGTTTGTCTGCATGACTGACTGGCTGGTCGGAAATCACACACCCACTGTCTTCTTTTTCTATTTCCATCTCCATCCCTGCCTTTTCTTCCTGCTCCTCCTGTTCCTCCTCCATTATCTCCACTGAGCTTCCTAATTCTTCTTTTTGTTCCTCTTCCCTGTACTCTTGATCATCTGCTCCATTGAACATCTCCTCAGCTTCTCTCTCTGTCTCTGCCACCAACAAAGATGCAAAACCTTCACCCTCGTTTGCCAAGCTGCCCACTTCCACATCCTCCTCCTCCTCTTCTTCTTCTTCCTCACAGATCTGCTGTAGCGCAGGCACATTCTTGGTGACCGGAGGCTCTTCAGCCGGAGGTGGACGGAGGGTGAAGCTGAGACTCGGCTGCCAGGGTCCAGGAAAAGCCTGCTGAGGCGGGGGCCTCGCGGCGAGCAGGTCCCCGCACTCAGGTACTCCTGAGCGAGGAGAGCTGGGAGAGAGAGCCCCTGACAGCCAGTGTGGTGGGGACTCTGGACTGAGCAGGGCGTTATCCAGCCCCTGCAGCCAGTGATGGGCCTCGATCTCCTCAAGTGAGGCGCGGCGAGATGGATTCTTCTGGAGCATCATGGAGATCAGACTGATGGGGAAAAGACAGAGAGGTTTATTGTTTCATGGAAAAGATATAAGCTGCTGTTTTGCTTGCTTTATTTTTTGCATCACGTTTTGGTGATCAGCCATTACAGCAATGGAACTCACTGCCTGGTTTAGATGTGATCTAAGCCATCTCCACACATCTTGACATACTGTTATTGCCTGTATGAGTTTCTAATGTCCAGAAGGTTGTTCTGTCTCTATTATGCTCCTTTTACACCATCATGTGACCGAGTGCTCATGACAAGTCATATGACAAGTGCTGGTTCAGATGTTCCAGGATATGTTTGCGGCTGCAGATAATCTAACAAACTACTTCTAGAGAACTGGAAATATAAAACCGTCCTTTGAGGGAGCTTTTGGAGCAAGAACTGCAGGCAGATATAGCTGGGGTTTTTTACACATGTTACCTGTACTGCTGTTGTTCCTTTTTCATGCTGCAATTTGTACCACATTAACCAATCTGGCATGTTTCAGCATTTATAAACCTCCATTTTCACCATCTTTGGTGTGCTCACATGTAACGGATAATTAATAATAATTTCTTCTATATTGTTCTCAACAAATCCAATCTAATAAAAAAGCCACCATGTTTTAGTCTGTATCTCTCTGTCTTTCCTGCCGTGTCTTTGGAACTCCGTCCCCAGTCCATTCATTCCTGCCCGAAGATGTAAATGTTTAAAAATGGCTCACAAATATATAATTTCAGTAATTTAACAGTTATTTCCAGCTAACAGTGCCAACAGCTAGGCACAGTAGATTTTAGCATACATTACAAGAAACAGGATTAAATTGCATTTTTAGGGGAGTATTAAGCTGTGGATTAATACATAATTTTTCCTCTACCGAGTATTTATGCCACCATAATAATGTTTGTAGGAATTACTAACTACAGACAGTGTGTTCATGGTAATGAAGGAACTTTTGACCCAGTGCAACAGTGTGCCCCATTGATTTGTTTTTAATCAGTTTTGGACAACAATGGGGCTCTATGTCAGAGAGGAAAAAGATAAATCACACAGTACTTGTTATTAGGATCAATTCATTGTTGGTTTTAGTCTTTAGACATTTGTGTAGACATAACTAACATATTTCTATTTTGCCTCCAGTAAACCAGTATAGACAACATGGCCTAGAATTGTCATATGTTTTGGATAGATTGAGCAAAACAAAAATGATTAATTAATTTATGTTCATGTAAATTTTGCTAAAACAGACAAAGCTATATTCTTTTTACCGATTTTTAAAAAACTTTCTTTTACTTACGATCTGTTTACAGTACATAAAATTTAAATAGCAAAATCAAAATTGTTTTGTTTATGTAGATGTTTTTATTTCACAATTCTCCACAAAAAGGACTAACCAGCCTCCAGCATATGCGATCAACTATCAAAACAATCCCATATTTTGTTTATTGTATATATGACTCCCATCAGCCTGCAATCGGATACAAAAACATTTTATTCTATTATAACATTTTAAGGTCCTTTCAAGACCTTCAGATACTCCATTTGAATTTTAAGAGCA